AAGGAGGTTTTAGAGTGGGTAGGGGAATGTGTAGATCAGGTGTTTACATTGAAGCATATATGTGAACAGTATTTAGATAAAGATAGGGAAGTTTTTATTGCATTTATGGATTTAGAAAAGGCATATGATAGAGTGGATAGAGGAGCAATGTGGCAGATGTTGCAAGTATATGGAATAGGTGGTAAGTTATTAAATGCTGTAAAGAGTTTTTATGAGGATAGTGAGGCTCAGGTTAGGGTGTGTAGAAGAGAGGGAGACTACTTCCCGGTAAAAGTAGGTCTTAGACAGGGATGTGTAATGTCACCATGGTTGTTAATATATTTATAGATGGGGTTGTAAAGGAAGTAAATGCTAGGGTGTTTGGGAGAGGGGTGGGATTAAATTATGGGGAATCAAATTCAAAATGGAATTGACACAGTTACTTTTTGCTGATGATACTGTGCTTATGGGAGATTCTAAAGAAAAATTGCAAAGGTTAGTGATGAGTTTGGGAATGTGTGTAAAGGTAGAAAGTTGAAAGTGAACATAGAAAAGAGTAAGGTGATGAGGGTGTCAAATGATTTAGATAAAGAAAAATTGGATATCAAATTGGGGAGGAGGAGTATGGAAGAAGTGAATGTTTTTCAGATACTTGGGAGTTGACGTGTCGGCGGATGGATTTATGAAGGATGAGGTTAATCATAGAATTGATGAGGGAAAAAAGGTGAGTGGTGCGTTGAGGTATATGTGGAGTCAAAAACGTTATCTATGGAGGCAAAGAAGGGAATGTATGAAAGTATAGTAGTACCAACACTCTTATATGGGTGTGAAGCTTGGGTGGTAAATGCAGCAGCGAGGAGACGGTTGGAGGCAGCGGAGATGTCCTGTTTAAGGGCAATGTGTGGTGTAAATATTATGCAGAAAATTCGGAGTGTGGAAATTAGGAGAAGGTGTGGAGTTAATAAAAGTATTAGTCAGAGGGCAGAAGAGGGGTTGTTGAGGTGGTTTGGTCATTTAGAGAGAATGGATCACAGTAGAATGACATGGAAGCATATAAATCTATAGGGGAAGGAAGGCGGGGTAGGGGTCGTCCTCGAAAGGGTTGGAGAAGAGGGGGTAAAGGAGGTTTTGTGGGTAAGGGCTTGGACTTCAGCAAGCGTGCGTGAGCGTGTTAGATAGGAGTGAATGAGACGAATGGTACTTGGGACCTGACGATCTGTTGGAGTGTGAGCAGGGTAATATTTAGTGAAGGGATTCAGGGAAACCGGTTATTTTCATATAGTCGGACTTGAGTCCTGGAAATGGGAAGTACAATGCCTGCACTTTAAAGGAGGGGTTTGGGATATTGGCAGTTTGGAGGGATATGTTGTGTATCTTTATATGTTTATGCTTCTAGACTGTTGTATTCTGAGCACCTCTGCAAAAACAGTGATAATGTGCGAGTGTGGTGAAAGTGTTGAATGATGATGAAAGTATTTTCTTTTTGGGGATTTTCTTTCTTTTTTGGGTCACCCTGCCTCGGTGGGAGACGGCCGACTTGTTGAAAAAAAAAAAAAAAAAAAAATTACTATACTTTCATACATTCCCTTCTTTGCCTCCATAGATAACATTTTTTGCCTCCACATATACCTCAATGCACCACTCGCCTTTTTTCCTTCATCAATTCTACGATTAACCTCATCCTTCATAGATCCATCCGCTGACACATCAACTCCCAAATATCTGAAAACATTCACTTTTTCCATACTACTACTCCCCAATTTGATATCCAATTTTTCTTTATCTAAATCATTTGATACTCTCATCACCTTACTCTTTTCTATGTTCACTTTCAACTTTCTACCTTTACACATCTTTCAGGAATATCGCTAGTATTTTCCTGGGTGAAAACTAAGAGGAAGTAGGTATTGAGAATTTCACACATATCCTTATCACTGTCAGTGATCTGACCAGAGTTACTCTTAACCCTGTCCCTCCAACCTTTTTGAGGACGACCCCTACCCCGTCTTCCTTACCCTACAGATTTATACGCTCTCCATGTCATTCTACTTTGATCCATTCTCTCTAAATGATTAAACCACCTCAACAACCCCTCTTCAGCCCTCTAATGCTTTCATTAACTCCACACCGTCTCCCAATTTCCACACTCCGAACCTTCTGCATAATATTCACACTACATACTGCCCTTAGTCAGGACATCTCCACTGCCTCCAACCGCCTCCTCGTTGTAGCAACAATAACTAGTACGTATATTTAAATAAAGAACACACTAGGTACATGTAAATTAATTTTTACACAGTTATTCACTAATACTCATTTCAAAAACTCATTATTTCAGTGCAAATTACAGTGGAACCCCAGATTATGTACTTGATCTGTTCCAGGTCAGTCTAAATCCGAAACGTACAAAAACCCAAGTAATATTTCCCATAAGAAATAATGTAAATCCAATTAATCCATTCCAGACACCCAAAAATATTCACAAAAAATTCAATTTTTTTGAATAACTGTTGTCCAGAGGGCTGAGGAAGGGTTGTTGAGGTGGTTCGGACATGTAGAGAGAATGGAGCGAAACAGAATGACTTCAAGAGTGTATCAGTCTGTAGTGGAAGGAAGGCGGGGTAGGGGTCGGCCTAGGAAGGGTTGGAGGGAGGGGGTAAAGGAGGTTTTGTGTGCGAGGGGCTTGGACTTCCAGCAGGCATGCGTGAGCGTGTTTGATAGGAGTGAATGGAGACAAATGGTTTTTAATACTTGACGTGCTGTTGGAGTGTGAGCAAAGTAACATTTATGAAGGGATTCAGGGAAACCGGCAGGCCGGACTTGAGTCCTGGAGATGGGAAGTACAGTGCCTGCACTCTGAAGGAGGGGTGCTAATGTTGCAGTTTAAAAACTGTAGTGTAAAGCACCCTTCTGGCAAGACAGTGATGGAGTGAATGATGGTGAAAGTTTTTCTTTTTCGGGCCACCCTGCCTTGGTGGGAATCGGCCAGTGTGATAATAAAAAAAAAATAATAATAACTATAGTTTCACGTATAGAAACGAGAAAAAAATAAAGCACTAATTTTAATGATAAACGAACATCACATACCTTTATTGAAGATTCTTGTTGGCATATTGAAGAAGGCGAGGGGTGGAGAGAGAGTTGCAGCTATTGTTTTTAAGGGTAATCCGCTCCATAAGGACTGCAGGTATCAAAGCTCTCTGGGGTTACTTCCTTTCTTTGTCTTTTACTGGCAATGGACGCATCGCACTAAAAATCTATCCAGAGTTCGCTCTCTCTGGCGTCTCTTAAGATCTGCCTAAAATGGGACAGGGTATTGTCACTGAACATGCTGCAAATACAGCTTGTATCAGCTTGGTCAGGGTGATATTTTTCAACAAAAGTTTACACTTTGCAAAAATGTCCTTAATCACTGAAGAAGGCACCTTCTTCCCTCTCTTCCTTCTCCTCTGAAGCAACTTCCTCAGCTGCAGTCTATTGCTGTTTTAGTTGAAGGTTTTTCACCTCTTCAGTGGTTAGTTCTTTCCTGTGATCCTCCACCAACTCTTCCACATCCTGGCCACTCACATCCAACCCCATGGACTTCCCCAAAGACACAGTACATTCCACAACAGGTGTAGGTTCAACAGAGTCAGCCTCAAACCCTTCTAAATCTTTTTCGAGGATACATTCTGGCCACAATTTTCTCCCAGCAGAGTTCAAAGTCCTGGAAGTCACTTCCTGCCAAGATTTACCTTTAATTCTTATGCAATGGAGGATGTTGAAGTGATCCCTCCAGAACTCTCTTAGGGTCCATTCTACAATCTCTTTCTCGAATTCTATCGTGTTTCTCACTTTCTTTATCAAAGGGCTGGCAATAGGAACTTTCTTTGGACCCATGGTGGCTTATTTTGCAGTAGCAATCAATAAACAAGCACAAATAACAAAAAAAGGCACAATACCGTGACTGGAACGATACACAAATAACCCGCACATAAAAGAGAAGCTTACGACGACTTTGTCAATGGTCCAAGTCAGACCAAAACGTCGTCGTAAGCTTCTCTCTTTTATGTGCGGGTTATTTGTGTAACAAGCACAAAATTTGCGAAATGTTTCGGATGAATGCTCACTTAACTAGTGACAGAACCAGACTGAGGTGGTGTCCTGGAGGGCAGACATGTCTGATATATACGATTCCTGGGACAAGGTACGAAATACTGTTCAAGAATTCAAACATTTCACTGCACTAAGCAAACTGACTGCTTACTAAGGAGTTTGCTTGCCCATCATCCCCACCACTTACCTACCAGCTGATCTTCCTATCGTACCATTTGCTCTTACCACTTGTCCTCTAATTCCCCTACCCTGACACCATCCCTTAAGCCTGCTAACATTAATGAATAAATCAGCATCCTCCTCAAAGCCATTAAGTCATGTACTCAAATAATAACAAGGTAGCTAAAACAAAAAGCTTAAAAATCCTACAGGAACACACACTAACTTCATACTGTATATATTATCTAATTCATTTGTCCAATTATGTGACTGTGCTCACACATCTTAATTAAAAATCTACATTAACTTGACTGGAGGACCACCTAGATGAGGTTGAAACTTTTCAAAACATTGCAGCAATTTTTTTACTTCAACAAATGGAAGAAAAAAACATAGGAACAAAGTTCACAAATTTAAAAATGATGAGGCACTGGATGTACCATAATAGACTGGTTAGACAAGAATACAAGATCAAGAGGGCATAGTGGGATATTACACAATCAACTGAACCCATGAATGCTAGAAAGTATTTCCACATTAGTGGTTAAGATGGGAAAGAACCTCAGCAATGATACAAATGAAAATGCCCCACAATGGATAAAAAAAATAAGATATGACAGCACTAATTGAAATCACTCAACTGAAAGTAAAAGAATGTGGATCACTGGCTACAGCTCAATTTCCCCTCACAAACTTAAAAACAACTACTAAAGTCATGTGGCACACAGGAACAAGTTTTATTTGTAGAGGACTCTTCTTCAACTTGCCTGAACTTTATGCTGCTCCTGAAAATAGGTTAGTGAAGAAACGTACTCCTCATCTGGATCATCGTCTTGTCTAAAACGTTTGTGTATGTTGAATTTCTTGGTAGATTTCATGAGTGCATTAAGCTTCCATTCTGTCAACTCTTCAGATATAGCCTGTTGATCTTTTAGACGTTGGCTGGAGAAAATTTAATACTTAGTTACATAAATTACATACAATTTAATGGTGAAGAAATACAACAATTAGTCTCTATTAATACAAAACCACAAATAGTGCTGTTTAAAAAAAAAAAACTCACGATCATTTCTAAAACAATTCCTTCTGTTAACTTGTTAAGTTTACCTGGAAAGAATGCTTTTAATAGTTACTGACATCCTACTTGTTTTTGGTTAAAGTGTGTTATCCACATATCTCCAAATGGTTGTAACTAGTAGTTCAAGTAGTAGTGTCTTCAGCTCGTGATGAAAGAACCAAAGTTAAATTTTGTGACAGGTGTTGTTCCTGCCTACCCAGAAACAAGTATCTGAATGTTAACCAATTGTTGAGGGTTGCATCCCACTAGGAAAGGTAATGTCAGTATACTGCAGTTAGTGCCAGGCTTTCAAATAAACTAAGATACAATAACAGCTTCAGTCTGCAAATTCAACATTAAAGGAAATCCATTGTACAAGTACAGTGGCAGGCTCTCTATACATTCAACATATTCAAAATTAATCCAAAATTTAAAGACTAAACTGAAGACATTAAGATCCAGTCTACATCATTGTTGTGACAATGTTCCAGGATGAGCTGACACATCATTTGAGGTTTCCCATCCTATTGTGGAACTGCTGCAATTTGAAACTATTTAGCTATTCCACTTGTAAAGCAGACTAACAAAAAATCTATATAAAGTTTCCAAGGAGAGTCATAAGAGAAGAATAAGGCATTATATAAATAGAATTTATAAATTATGCAAAATTCATATCTAACCTCCATGAATTTTCAATCTCGACTAGTTGCTGGGAGAACTCTGAGAACAGTTGTTCTCTCAAACGCTCTTCCAATTCAACCTTTTCTTTATGCTCTTTAACTAGTTCATCTTTGAGACTGGCAATAAGTTGAACAAGTGCCTGAAATTTTTTTTTAAAAAGACACATTTTATAAATCTGCACAAATTATAAAATGGAAGAAAAATTGTCATATTAATAAATAATTCAGTCATATTAACTTCACTGGAAATGGAAAAAACTTTTCCTTTGTAATTACCTAATGGATATTATTCTTTTTTAACCACAATGGACGTCTCCCACGAAGGTAGGGTGACAAAACTGAACAAAGAACATACTAACCTCGTATTTTTCATCTTCCTCATTTTCTTCCACTAGAGGTTCCACACTTTTTTCAAGAATGTCACTGCTGAAAATTATTTACTTGCTTAGGATAAATATTATCAGAGGATAATAAGTTTAGATTTAGAAAGGACATAGGAAAGTATTGGTTTGGAAATAGGGTAGTTGATGAGTGGAACAGTCTACCTAGTTGGGTTATTGAGGCTGGGACTTTGGGTAGTTTCAAATCTAGGTTGGATAAGTACATGAGTGGGAGGGGTTGGATTTGAGTGGGACTTTCACATCAGAGCTTATTTCTTGGGTGGCATTGAAAATTGGGTTGGGCAAATGTTTTGTTAGTGGGATGAATTGTAAAGGACCTGCCTAGTATGGGCCAGCAGGCCTCCTGCAGCGTTCCTCCTTTCTTATGTTCTTATGTATAAGTAAACAAATGTTAATTGCATATACAGTATTTGAAAAATATGGTTTGCAGTCATGAATGGGTTGACATTATTTATACAATTATTACAATATTGCAGTAGTCTGTATAACAGTAAATCTTCTATTTTTTTCTTTGAATATAAATTCAAAATAGAAAACAAGAGTAATATCAGAGGGGCCTGAAGACGTGACTGATGAACAAAGAAAATGGTATTGTAGAGCCAGGAATGTCTGCATTGTTTATTCTGGACCCTATTTTGAAACTGGCATATTTTTTAATTTGTGTGAAATTGGCCAAATTGCAAACTTCTGACCACATTATTGGGTAGTTGAAATCGGTAAATGAGCAGTTTCTTGTACTCAATCGATAGAACAAATGTAGTTCTAAAGAAATAGCCATGAGTTTGGTCGACTGGAACAATGGAATTATACAAAAATAGGGCTCAAAGTGGGCGAAATTGCCAATTTGTAAATATCGCCGAGGCCGCTAACTTCGCAACAGCGTAATTCCATGAGTTTTCCATCAAATTTTGGTCTTGTAGTGTCATTACTATCAGGAAAAGATTCTCTGTCATTTCAAAAGAGAAAAAAAAAAATTCAAAATTTGTTCGACACCTCAGGATTTGGGGTTGTGAGAGTCAAAGGGTTAAAGGCTCCCCATTTTCATTTACTCCTGGCACCCCAAATTTACCTACTACTCCCTCCACAACATTTTTATCCACTTTAGCATTGAAATCTCCAACCACTCACTCATCATTTCCCAAAATCTTTTTCTCTCCTCTCCAGGTGCATAAACACTTACTATAACCCACTTCTCACATCCAACCCTTATTTTACCCTACAATCCTTTAATTCAAACATTTATTTTCCCTCTTTTCCTGCCATGACTTATCCTTCAACATTATCGCTACTCCTCCTTTAAGTCTATTTGAAACCCCTTTGATATACCTTTGAAGAGTTTTCAGAGTTTAACGACTCTCTGAGCTCAGCTCGTCTGGTGCTTGTCTAGTGAACTAGGCTGTTGCTGCTGGAGGCCCACTGACCCACATATCCATCACAGCCTAGTTGATCTGGCACCTGGTGAAGATACTTGTCCAGTTTCCTTTTGAAGGATTCTACACTGGTTCCAGCCGTGTTTCTGATATCTTCTGGTAACCCGTCTGGGACCCCGGATGTTGATACAATGTTCCCTTATTGTCCCCACCGCACCCCTGCTCCTCACTGGGTTTATTTTACATTTCCTCCCATATCTCTCACTCCAGTATGTTATGGCAGTGTGCAGATTTGAGACCAAGCCCTGGAGTACCTTCCAGGTATATAATATGTACCTTTCTCTCCTCCGCTCCAATGAATACATGTTCAAGACTGACAGGCATTCCCAGTAGTTTAAGTGCTTTAGATGCTCAATGTGAGCTGTAAACAATCTCTGTATTTGTTATAGCTCAGATATTTCTCCTGCCTTGAACGGGGCCATCAGCACTGAGCAATATTCTAAGTGAGGGAGCACTAGTGATTTGAAGAGTCACCCAATCCCATTTATTTCTCCCCACTGAAACTCTCCCACCCCCTTCAGCTTTGTTTCACTTAAACCCAGGACATCCAGCTTCTTCTCACTGATGACATACACAATCATCTTATTATTCACACAACATCCATGCACATTCAAACATCCCACTTTGACAATTTTCTTTTTTTCTTTTTAGTAGGCTAAACAGGAAAAGGGGTTACTAGCCTATTGCTCCTGGAATTTTAGTTGACTTTTACAACACGCATGGCTTACGGAGGAAAGATTCTTGTTCCACTTCCCCATGGATATAAAAGGAAAAGCAATAAAAACAAGAACTTTTTTTTTTTTTTTTAACAAGTCAGCCGTCTCCCACCAAGGCGGGGTGACCCAAAGAGAAAATCCCCAAAAAGAAAATACTTTCATCATTCAACACTTTCACCTCACTCACACATTATCACTGTCTTTGCAGAGTTGCTCAGAATGCAACAGTTTAGAAGCATATACGTATAAAGATACACAACATATCCCTCCAAACTGCCAACATCCCAAACCCCTCCTTTAAAGTGAAGGCATTGTACTTCCTATTTTCAGGACTCCAGTCCGGCTATATAAAAATAACTGGTATCCCTGAATCCCTTCACTAAATATTACCCTGTTCACACTCCAACAGCTCGTCAGGTAGTAGGTTGGTAGACAGCAATTACCCAAAGAGGTACTACCGTCCTGCCAAGTAAGTGTAAAACAAAAGCCTGTAATTGTTTTACATGATGGTGGGATTGCTGGTGTCTTTTGTCTGTCTCATAAATATGCAAGATTACAGGTACATCTTGCTACTTCTACTTACACTTAGGTCACACTACACACACATGTACAATTCATTTATACACACTCATCTGAGTTTTCTTTGATTTTATCTTAATAGTTCTTGTTCTTATTACTTTTCCTTTTATATCCATGGGGAAGTGGAATAAGAATCTTTCCTCCGTAAGCCATGCATGTCGTAAAAGTCAACTAAAATCCCGGGAACAATGGGCTAGTAACCCCTTTTCCTGTAATAATTACTAAACAGAATAAGAAGAAAGAACAAGAACTATTAAGATAAAATCAAAGAAAACTCAGATGAGTGTGTATACTTAAACATTTACATGTATGTGTAGCGTGACCTAAGAAGTAGCAAGACATACCTGAAATCTTGCATGTTTACGAGACAGAAAAAAGACACCAGCAATCCTACTATCATGTAAAACAATTACAAGCTTTCGCTTTACACTCACTTGGCAGGACGGTAGTACCTCTCTGGGTGGTTGCTGTCTACCAACCTACATTACATTAATAATAAAGCACAAATAGCAATAATAAGAGGTTTCTTCTTGCTGTGTATCTTTTTTTTTTAGCAGTCAATAATAATAATTGTATGTACAAAATTACACTACAGAGAAGTTTGCACACACACACACACACACACACACACACACACACACACACACACACACACATGCTGCTATAGTTGGTTTAGTGCAGGTTACTTAGTAAACTGCCTAACCAAAGTAGGCCAGGAGGCCTACTACAATGCTCCTTTCATGAAAGCTCAAATATAATCACAAGAAAATTAAATATTTAAGGCATAAATCAATCAATAAAGAACAGGATGCAACAAATCACAATGCACATTTCAGCAAAGTAGACAAACTATTAAAATTGAGGTTATCATATGGTACACTAGAGCTCTGCTCAGTTCAGAAACTTTTCAGACATAAATTTAACTAAATACTGCAGTACTTCCTTCAGAGTTTATCACAATGACTAGTAATTGAATAGCAAATATTAAAGAAAGAAAAAAAATTAGTGTCCATTATATTTAAGTAGAAAAATAATGTGCTAGGACCATAACCAAATTAATAAACAAATAGAACCATTTTTTGTATTTAGATTCCCAACTGTATAAAACAATAAAATAATTGTAAAATCTTTTATACACCTTGTGAACCACACTGATCTTATGAGGTTAACATGCAACATCCACACAGAATACCTCACTCACCATGGGTTTAAACCCCATCCATTCTATAGTGTTAGAAAATCTGCATAAAAAGAATCCACAAAGATATGGAGATTTGCATATATGTTCTTTCAATGCAAGGCAACTCGGAGTCAAACATGCTGACTGTCACTGAAGCCTAGTCCAGGCTGCCTCTGATATACCTTGAGAGCCTTCAAGGTATATCAAAGGTAAAGGTACAAAATGGTCCATGTTCCTAACTTACACTACAACTCCAGAATCTCCAAGATCAAATAAATAATCATTTATCAGACTGTGCTTACACACCAACAGCACATTAAATTCCATAAATCATTTGAGTCCACTCAATCTAACCCACTCACACCTGCCTGCTAGATGTTGAAGCCCCCATCACATAACCTTCACACCCTCCCTCTTAACCCCTCCTAGGTGGTCTGCATTACCACAAAGTTGCCCAAGATTTATATGCCTCTTAGTGAATCTGTTTTACTGCATCCTGAATGACTAAATCTTCTCAGCACCTGCATTTCTGCTCCCTGAAAAAGTTTTTCATACCTCTACACTGCTTAATTTGTTCAGTCACAATTCCCTATATTAGATAAGTGTATACTGCATAGCAGAGTACAAATGGAAAGTAAGTTTCAGAGATTTACTTCACAGGTTCATGGAAAAAAAAATACGGTTAGAAGCCAAGTTACTCCTGGAAACCACATCTCAAGTGGACGTCAGATCTCTTAACTTGACGATACTTCACATACTGCTCATTTTAGTTGAAGAGGTTATGTGATATGACAAGGATACTGCATCAAAGTTGTTAATAGAAAGTTAACTGATTATAATAGCTCTTACCTTGCTCCAAATGTGATATCACTAGGCCTTTTCATCCAGGGAACAGAAAGCCTCCCAGTGGAATTGAGAGACTGGCGAACAAAACTGGTGAAGTGACTCTTTCTATTAGAGATTTTAACATTTGTGTGTTCTTCCTTGGCCTGACTAATAGCTACCTGTAAATAATTTGCAATGTAAGAGTAATATGTCTAAAATATTTCCTACATAATGAGCAATTTTTTTTTTTAACACAGCTGTCTCCCACCGAGGCAGGGCGAACCAAAAAAGAAAACACTCACCATCATTCACACAATCACTGTCTTTGCAGAGGTGCCCAGATACAACAGATTAGATGTCACTCGTAAAATTAACTTGAGAGGCAAAAAACAATATAGAACAATAATAAATGATGGTGAATGTTTCTTTTTTTGGGTCACCCAGCCTCAGTGGGAGAAGACGTACATACATACGTACACGCGCGCGTGCATGCGTGGGTGTGTGTTTCCTTCTTTCAACAAGTTGGCCATCTCCCACCAAGGCAGGATGACCCAAAAAGAAAGAAAATTCCCAAAAAGAAAATATTATCATCATTCAACACTTTCACCTCACTCATACATAATCACTGTTTTTGCAGAGGCACCCAGAAACATAAATATGCAAGATTACACGCATGTCTTGCTACTTCTACTTACACTTAGGTCACTACACATACATGTACACATTTATTTATACACACTCATCTGAGTTTTCTTTGATTTTATCTTAATAGTTCTTGGTCTTATTACTTTTCCTTTTATATCCATGGGGAAGTGGAATAAGAATCTTTCCTCCGTAAGCCATGCGTGTTGTAAAAGTCAACTAAAATGCCGGGAACAATGGGCTAGTAACCCCTTTTCCTGTAAAGATTACTAAAAAGAATAAGAAAATTGTCAAAGTGGGAAGTCTGAATGTGCGCGGATGTTGTGCAGATGATAAGAAAGAGATGATTGTGGATGTTATGAATGAGAAGAAGCTGGATGTCCTGGCTTTAAGTGAAACAAAGCTGAAGGGGGTGGGAGAGTTTCAGTGGAGAGGAATAAATGGGATTAGGTCAGGGGTTTCAAATAGAGTTAGAGCTAAAGAAGGAGTAGCAATAATGTTGAAGGATAAGCTATGGCAGGAAAAGAGGGACTATAAATGTATTAATTCAAGGATTATGTGGAGTAAAATAAAGATTGGATGTGAAAAGTGGGTTATAATAAGCGTGTATGCACCTGGAGAAGAGAGAAGTGTAGAGGAGAGAGAGAGATTTTGGGAAATGTTGAGTGAATGCGTGGGGAGTTTTGAATCAAGTGTGAGAGTAATGGTGGTTGGGGATTTCAATGCTAAAGTGGGTAAAAATGTTATGGAAGGAGTAGTAGGTAAATTTGGGGTGCCAGGGGTAAATGTAAATGGGGAGCCTTTAATTGAGCTATGTGTAGAAAGAAATTTGGTAATAAGTAATACATATTTTATGAAAAAGAGGATAAATAAATATACAAGGTATGATGTAGCACGTAATGAAAGTAGTTTATTAGATTATGTATTGGTGGATAAAAGGTTGATGGGTAGGCTCCAGGATGTACATGTTTATAGAGGGGCAACTGATATATCGGATCATTATTTAGTTGTAGCTACAGTTAGAGTAAGAGGTAGATGGGAAAAGAGGAAGGTGGCAACAACAAGTAAGAGGGAGGTGAAAGTGTATAAACTAAGGGAGGAGGAAGTTCGGGTGAGATATAAGCGACTATTGGCAGAAAGGTGGGCTAGTGCAAAGATGAGTAGTGGGGGGGGTTGAAGAGGGTTGGAATAGTTTTAAAAATGCAGTATTAGAATGTGGGGCAGAAGTTTGTGGTTATAGGAGGGTGGGGGCAGGAGGAAAGAGGAGTGATTGGTGGAATGATGAAGTAAAGGGTGTGATAAAAGAGAAAACGGTAGCTTATGAGAGGTTTTTACAAGGCAGAAGTGTTATAAGAAGAGCAGAGTATATGGAGAGTAAAAGAAAGGTAAAGAGAGTGGTGAGAGAGTGCAAAAGGAGAGCAGATGATAGAGTGGGAGAGGCACTGTCAAGAAATTTTAATGAAAATAAGAAAAAATTTTGGAGTGAGTTAAACAAGTTAAGAAAGCCTAGGGAAAATATGGATTTGTCAGTTAAAAACAGAGTAGGGGAGTTAGTAGATGGGGAGATGGAGGTATTGGGTAGATGGCGAGAATATTTTGAGGAACTTAAATGTTAAGGAAGAAACAGAGGCAGTAATTTCATGCACTGGTCAGGGAGGTATACCATCTTTTAGGAGTGAAGAAGAGCAGAATGTAAGTGTGGGGGAGGTACGTGAGGCATTACGTAAAATGAAAGGGGGTAAAGCAGCTGGAACTGATGGGATCATGACAGAAATGTTAAAAGCAGGAGGGGATATAGTGTTGGAGTGGTTGGTACTTTTGTTTAATAAATGTATGAAAGAGGGGAAGGTACCTAGGGATTGGCGGAGAGCATGTATAGTCCCTTTATATAAAGGGAAAGGGGACAAAAGAGACTGTAAAAATTATAGAGGAATAAGCTTACTGAGTATACCAGGAAAAGTGTACGGTAGGGTTATAATTGAAAGAATTAGAGGTAAGACAGAATGTAGGATTGCGGATGAGCAAGGAGGTTTTAGAGTGGGTAGGGGATGTGTAGATCAGGTGTTTACATTGAAGCATATATGTGAACAGTATTTAGATAAAGATAGGGAAGTTTTTATTGCATTTATGGATTTAGAAAAGGAATATGATAGAGTGGATAGAGGAGCAATGTGGCAGATGTTGCAAGTATATGGAATAGGTGGTAAGTTATTAAATGCTGTAAAGAGTTTTTATGAGGATAGTGAGGCTCAGGTTAGGGTGTGTAGAAGAGAGGGAGACTACTTCCCGGTAAAAGTAGGTCTTAGACAGGGATGTGTAATGTCACCATGGTTGTTTAATATATTTATAGATGGGGTTGTAAAGGAAGTAAATGCTAGGGTGTTTGGGAGAGGGGTGGGATTAAATTATGGGGAATCAAATTCAAAATGGGAATTGACACAGTTACTTTTTGCTGATGATACTGTGCTTATGGGAGATTCTAAAGAAAAATTGCAAAGGTTAGTGGATGAGTTTGGGAATGTGTGTAAAGGTAGAAAGTTGAAAGTGAACATAGAAAAGAGTAAGGTGATGAGGGTGTCAAATGATTTAGATAAAGAAAAATTGGATATCAAATTGGGGAGGAGGAGTATGGAAGAAGTGAATGTTTTCAGATACTTGGGAGTTGACGTGTCGGCGGATGGATTTATGAAGGATGAGGTTAATCATAGAATTGATGAGGGAAAAAAGGTGAGTGGTGCGTCGAGGTATATGTGGAGTCAAAAAACGTTATCTATGGAGGCAAAGAAGGGAATGTATGAAAGTATAGTAGTACCAACACTCTTATATGGGTGTGAAGCTTGGGTGGTAAATGCAGCAGCGAGGAGATGGTTGGAGGCAGTGGAGATGTCCTGTTTAAGGGCAATGTGTGGTGTAAATATTATGCAGAAAATTCGGAGTGTGGAAATTAGGAGAAGGTGTGGAGTTAATAAAAGTATTAGTCAGAGGGCAGAAGGGGTTGTTGAGGTGGTTTGGTCATTTAGAGAGAATGGATCAAAGTAGAATGACATGGAAAGCATATAAATCTATAGGGGAAGGAAGGCGGGGTAGGGGTTGTCCTCGAAAGGGTTGGAGAGAGGGGGTAAAGGAGGTTTTGTGGGTAAGGGGCTTGGACTTCCAGCAAGCGTGCGTGAGCGTGTTAGATAGGAGTGAATGGAGACGAATGGTACTTGGGACCTGACGATCTGTTGGAGTGTGAGCAGGGTAATATTTAGTGAAGGGATTCATATAGTCGGACTTGAGTCCTGGAAATGGGAAGTACAATGCCTGCACTTTAAAGGAGGGGTTTGGGATATTGGCAGTTTGGAGGGATATGTTGTGTATCTTTATGTGTGTATGCTTCTAGACTGTTGTATTCTGAGCACCTCTGCAAAAACAGTGATAATGTGCGAGTGTGGTGAAAGTGTTGAATGATGATGAAAGTATTTTCTTTTTGGGGATTTTCTTTCTTTTTTTTGGGTCACCCTGCCTCGGTGGGAGACGGCCGACTTGTTGAAAAAAAAAAAATATATATATATATATATATATATATATATATATAAACTTGCATGATAATTTAAGCTTAAAATTGACACCAAAATCATTATTTTTTTTTAAACATTAGCACACAATACACAAGAATTCCTACCTGCTTTGCAATTGCCGAGAATTTTAGGACTTGTAGAGTTTCATCAAAAAGAAGGGGTGTCTTTGAGATATTAACAATCATGGCAGCTTTACCATGGCCCAAAAAAAAGCTTTGGAACAACCGAGTGAGCTTACTGTCACGGTATGGCACAGGAATCTCACGTTTCTTAGTGCCTTTCTGCATCTGATTCCGTCTGTTCAGAAAAATGTATATTTAACAGCCTAAACAAGCACTTGGAAGACCTGACTTAAATTATTAAGGATTTTTTATAAAGTGAGTGAAACACTATTTACCAAATAAACATCATTGATAATGCTAGTCTTTTTTTCAACTGACTCTTTTTGCCTGCTTATTACCATGGTTTGACTAATTTTTAATATGGAATTACTGTAGCAAGGAAGCTTATTAAATCCATGACTAGTCATTGGCATTTAAAAAAAAAAAATTGATTGAAGGGGTTTAAGAGCAGGCAGGAATGACCAATGTCTACTGTTATATCTGTATAGAAATAAGCTATTAAATGCACCAACCAGAATTTAAAATTGGACAAGTTTCAATAAAATACCACAGCATTTACTGGTAAAATAGCTTTACCTTAAAGCTTCAATACATCTGCTGAGTACTAGAAGCGAAGTATTTATGTTACTAGCCTCTTTGAGGCGATCTTGGTTACTTCGTGTTTTTCCAGCCCGTTCTGTACCAGCAAGATCACACACAGAAAGCCTGAAAAAATGATCTATATAATGCTAATTTCTTATTTAGGTTGCATTAAACAAAACATACCAAGATACGTACATTTATAATTTATTTCCTACCTCACTATCTCTTTGAAATATGGATAGAAAGAAATATTCAATGAATACCCCTAAAAAAAAAAAAAAAAAAAAAAAAAAAAAAAAAAAAAAAAAAAAAAAAAAAATGTAGTATTTTAAATCTGAGGGGAAAATAAATGATAAAGAGAAAGGTTATTGTCATTCTGCTGTCACTTGGTTTATGCTACTGATGCACAAAAGTAAAACAATGTAAATTAAGAGTTCTCTCTCAATTGTCTCATTCCATCTTTGTTTCCTGCATTTAGTCACCCATAACAAAGGAAGATATCTAACTCACTTTCCCAAGGAACTGAAAGGAAATGGTACCAGAGAAAGAAATAAGAAATTCAGACGAGTGTGTATTCACATATACATTTATTTTCATATAGTTGGACTTGAGTCCTGGAAATGGGAAGTACAATGCCTGCACTTTAAAGGAGGGGTTTGGGATATTGGCAGTTTGGAGGGATATGTTGTGTATCTTTATATGTATATGCTTCTAAACTGTTGTATTCTGAGCACCTCTGCAAAAGCAGTGATAATGTGCGAGTGTGGTGAAAGTGTTGAATGATGATGAAAGCATTTTCTTTTTGGGGATTTTCTTTCTTTTTTGGGTCACCCTGCCTCGATGGGAGACGGCCAACTTGTTGAAAAAAAAAAAAAAATACATATATGAAACGAAAGCCTGTAATTGTTTTACGTGATGGTAGGATTGCTGGTGTCCTTTTTTCTGTCTCATAAACATGCAAGATTTCAGGTACATTATGCTACTTCTACTTACACTTAGGTCACACTACACATACATGTACAAGCACATATATACACACCCCTCTGGGTTTTCTTCTATTTTCTTTCTAGTTCTTGTTCTTGTTTATTTCCTCTTATCTCCATGGGGAAGTGGAACAGAATTCTTCCTCCGTAAGCCATGCGTGTTGTAAGAGGCGACTAAAATACCGAGAGCAAGGGGCTAGTAACCTCTTCTCCTGTATATATTACTAAATGTAAAAGGAGAAACTTTCGTTTTTCCTTTAGGGCCACCCCGCCTTGGTGGGATACGACCGGTTTGTTGAAAGAAAGAAAAAATATATATACATACATATAAAAGTATCCCAGTTTGTCACTGCAAAACTAACGAGAATAAAAACATACGAGGACAAGAAAAAGCTCTATAGGGATCTGGACAAATTGCAAGAGTGGTCAGAAAAGGGTTTGCTTCAAATGCAAGGTCATGACAATTATGGAAGGAGCAAGAAGTCCAGAAATTGGGTATAGACCAGGGAGACAGGTTGCAGAATAAGACTGCAGGGGAGGGGGATGAGCATAGTGCCCAACATAATGCCAGAGGCTCACATTAACTGAATAACCGCTACAGTCAATGCTTGTCTAGTGAATCTATGAGTAGCCTTTAGGAATCTCAAAGTTATTTTAGGCTGTTTATACAACATATGTTATGTTCACCTTGGAGTATGCAGCACCAATATGAAACTCACACCTGAAATAAGTGCAGAAGCAAGCAACAAGAAGTAAGCGAAAGTGCAGATGTAAGCAGCAAGGCTTATTCCAGATCCAAGGGCAAGAATTACAGGGTAAAGCTAATGGTAACGAACCTAACGATATTGACGGACAGAAAAACCAGAGTGGACATAACATACAATATAATCATAGCAGAATTCAGGTAGATAGGGATAGACTGTTTAAGAGGCAAGAAATGGGAACCTGGGGACACCACAAAGTTAAAATTACAGATAAGCCACAGGAATATTAAGAAATATTTCTTCAGTATTAGAGTGGTCAGGAAGTGATCTTGCTGAAGTGATAAAAGCAGACTCCATACATAGTTTTAAGAGCAGGCATGATAGAGCCCATGAGATTAAGAGGAAGTGAATCTGAAGAGTGGCAAGTTATGAGGCAGGGTCAGGATCTGAGAATCAGTCCCTGGAAACACAAGTAGGAGAATATAGTTTTATGCTACGTGTACTTTGTTTTAACCCTTTCAGGGTTGGTGCTGTACTAGTACGGCTTGCACGCCAGGGTTGGTGCCTTACTAGTACGCATAAATTCTAGTGGCTTCAAATTAAGCGGGAAACAGATGGTAGGCCTAGATGTGAGAGAATGGGTGTGCGTAGTCGGTGTGCGGTAGAAAAAAATCTGGGACCCAGTGGTGCATTGTGGGAACGCCATTTTAGTAGACCTTGTTCACCATGCCTCGCGGTAAGAAGCTCCTCACTCCTCGGCGAATTGGGACACTTTTGTTCCCCAGTGACAGTTCTAATACAGACGGAAGTGCCAGTGAAGATGAGTTTCAAGGTTTTGGTGAGGTGACCGAAACTAATGACCATAATACAGTACTGGTAATAGTGAGGAAAAACCAGACGACCCTCAGCCTTCCACCTCTGCTGCTGGGCCGTTTTGTTCACGTTCAGTTGTACCAGAATCAAAGAGGAAACTCCTATTTTCCCAAATCCCGGACTCGGATGTGAGCATTGGTGATGATAGTGATGTTGAATATGAACTTCAAGCTCTTGAAAACAGTTCCAGTAGTGATAGTGAAGTGGAATATTCTCCAGTGAAACGTCAGTATATACGACGATATATGCGCTCTGGTAGTGTGCCACATGCTATTCCAAGGGGAAGGAGTACATCTCGGAGTACATCCCATGACTGTACAACAGGAACAGACAGTGAAAATTAAGATAGTGCTGCAATTGGGATGGAAAACGTGCATGGTGGTGGTAGTGGTGGTGCCGGCCGTGAGGCACCAACAGTGGGCCATGCTGTCACCATGCCACTGCCTCAGCTGATCTACAACAAAGGCCACCATCACCCACCCACCACACCAGCCTCCAACCACAACCACCTGTCAATATCCAGTACCCACCAGCAGACTGCACCTGGGATTGGCAGGAAGCTGCCAATTTTGTTCCCAATCCCCATCACTTGGATGAAAGTCGAAGTGGAATACGGCCATCTTGTACACTTGGGAACAATGCCAGTGAACTGGAATGTTTCAGGTTATTCTTTGACGAACCCGATGGAAATTATAGTCAGGGAAAGCAACAGATACTACGAGTACACCATGACAAACAATACTTTCACCAAACTCACACCTACACCAGTGGAAGGAGACAACTGTGGCTGAGATGTATCTTTTGTTTGCCACAATAATGCTTATGCCACATGTGTATAAGCAGTGTGAAATCATACTGGTCAACAGACCACCTGATTGCAACCCCAGGTTTCAGTGATATAATAGGAGTGAATCGATTTGTGCTACTATTACGTATGCTTCACTTCTCAGACAAAACCAAGCCTGACAGAAACGACAGGTTATACAAGATTAGGAATGTGTTCATGTATCTGAAACAGAAATTCAATATGTATTTTTATCCCTTCAGGAAGCTTGTTATTGATGAGTCTGATTCTGTTCAAAGGAAGATTCATTCAAGCAATGCATACCAAGCAAGAGGAAATGCTTTGGTATAAAGTTGTTTGTGCTTTGTGATTGTTACAGTGGTCTTGTGCTGGATATAATTGTGTACACTGGAAGTAATACATTGCGAGATACCAGGAAGTTACTGGGTATCTCCGGTGATGTGGTTAGAACAATGATGGAATCATATCTTGGTAAGGGACATATATTACATACTGATAACTGGTACACAAGCCCCTTACTCAGTGATTTCTTGCGAGTGAACATGACACATGTGTGGCACAGTGCGTGCAAATCGTAAACATATGCCCAGGTTCGACGCTGGCACTCGTAGAGGTGAGGTGCAGGCCTTTGCTACCAATGACATCATGGCATTTCAGAGGCATGACAAACGAGATGTCACACCGTTGTCATCAGTTCACCCTAATGAAATGGCACACACTGGCAGGCAGCATAGAGAAAGCAATGAACCCATTCTAAAACCTGCAGCTGTGATTGACTACACCCTCAATATGTGTTCAGTGGACAAATTTGACATGCAGATTGGGTTTGCTGATTGTGTTTGCAAGAGTTATAAGTGGTACATAAAACTCTTTTTCCAAATTCTGGACATTTCCATGCTCAATGCCTATAACATATACAATATGAGAACCAGAAACAAACCACCATATGGTGAATTTTGTTTGTCTCGTCTGACAAATAATAATCGAGTACCAAGAAACATCACCTGCAACAGAAAACCACCCACGTAATTATCAACAACTACCTTCTCGTCTGAAGCATGGTGATCACTTTTTAACAAAACTCCCTGTTAATGCTTTCAAGAAAAAGGCTCAGAAGAGGCGTTACGTCTGTGCACATAAAAAAAAAAAAAAGCCCACAACAACGCACAGACACTCGTTTTGTGTGAGGAGTGTACACCACCATTGTGCATGACACCATGTTTCAAAGACTTCCACAGGCTGCAGAACTTCTAAAAACATGTCCTGTGACTGTATATGTGTATATAAAATATAGAAAAATAGTAATAAACAACATTTTGTATTGTTTGTTTGTGTAAATATGTTTTATAAAGAAAATAGTGACAACAGTGTTTATGCAGTTATTGTGCAGTATAGAATTAGAAATAACTTACAAAATAGTGCTCACACTGGTCTCACAGGCCAAAAAAGTTACTTGGAAAAAAATAAAATAAAAAATTAATAGAAAATAGTACCTGAAAAATAAAGTAATACCGGGTGGCCGGCAGTCGGCGATGTTACCATATGCCGGTCATTATCTGTCAACTTCACGCCTCCGTATCTTTGTAAGTATTGATGGTAACATTTTTTTTTTGTTTAGCCTATAAAATTCAGAAAGAAAAATAAAACCTATCTTTTCATAAGAATTTTTTTTTTTTTTTCCAAATTTTTACCGACCCTGAGAACAGGTTTGGGAGAGGGCCTGCCGACCCTGAAAGGGTTAATGGTTGCAAGGTTTAAAGCCCCTGCACCCTGATCTCAATTCACACTTCCTAACTTGGAAAGGAAATATTGAAGGAATAAGAACTACACTAGGTAGTACGCTGGCAGACAGCAACACCCAGGGAGGTACTACCGTCCTGCCAAGTGAGTGTAAAATGAAAGCCTGTAATTGTTTTACATGATGGTAGGATTGCTGATGTCTTTTTCTGCTTTATAAACATGCAAGATTTCAGGTATGTCTTGCTACTTCTACTTAAATTAAGGTCACACTACACATGCATGTACAAGCATATATATACACACCCTTCTGGGTTTTCTTCTGTTTTTCTTACCAATTCTTGTTCTTGTTTATTTCCACTTATCTCCATGGGGAAGTGGAACAGAATTCTTCCTCCCTAAGCCATGCATGTTGTAATAGGCGACTAAAATGCCAGGAGCAAGGGGATAGTAACCCCTTCTCCTGTATATATAACTAAATGTAAAAGGAGAAACTTTCATTTTTCTTATTGGGCCACCCTGCCACAGTGGGATACAGCTGGAGCATTGAAAGAAGAACTACAGTCTTCCATGTGAAAGAGGAACAGAATTCTTCATCCATAAGCCATACTTTTCATAAGAGGTGACTAAAATGCCAAAAGCAAAGGGTTAGAAACCCCTTCTCCTACATACATTACTAAATTTAAAGAGAAACTTTCAATTTTGGCCACCCTGCCTCAGCAGGATAATGCTGGGTGGTTAAAAAAAAAAAAATCTAGTATTAGGAAATACACATTTAAGTATATACTGAAGGAAAGTAGAACATGGCAAGATTTTCCAGTCATCTTGCATGTTCATGAGACAGAAAAGATCAACAAAGTTGCTGGAATTAAAGGCTTTGCACTCTTACAGCTTTGTTGATCTTTTGTCTCATGAACATGCAAGATGACTGGAAAATCTTGACATGTTCTACTTGTCTTTAGTAAAGTATATACTAAAGCCAAGTGTATTTCCTAATATTGTATTAGTTTCTTTTTTTAAACCAACCAGCATTATCGTACTGAGGCAGGATGACCAAAAAAGAAAAACAAAAGTTTTTCTTTAAATTTAGTAATGGATACAGAAGGGGTTACTAGCCCCTTGCTTCTGGCATTTTAGTCGCCTCTTATGATATGTATGGCTTATGGATGAAGAATTCTGTTCCACTTCCCCATGGAAGACTGTAGTTCTTATTCCTGCAATATTTCCTTACCTAGTTAGGCCTGGGTTGAGATCAGGGTGCAGGGGTTCTAAATCCTGCAACCGTTAAAACAAAATACACGTAACATAAAACTGTACTCTCCTGCTTGTGATTCCAGAAACTGATTCTCAGATCCTGGACCTGCCACTCAACTTGCCACTCTTCAGATTCATTTCACACTTGTATGACAGGAGGGTAGTATCTCCTTAACCCTTTGACTGTTTTCGACGTATAAATACGTCTTACGAGCCAATGTTTCTGACGTATATATACTCAATAATTCTAGCGGCTTCAAATCAAGTGGGAGAAAGCTGGTAGGCCCACATGTGAGAGAATGGGTCTGTGTGGTCAGTGTGCACCACATAAAAAAAATCCTGCAGCACACATTGCGTAATGAGAAAAAAAAAACTGATCGTTTTTTTGGAATAAAACGCCGACTTTGAGGTGTATTTTCGTATAGTATTTTTCATTGTATTCGCGTTTTCATGGTCTTAGGTGATAAAATGGAAAACATATTACAGAAATAGAGATGATTTTCATTACTTTTACGATGAAAACGACCTTGAAACTAAGCTCAAAGTAGCGAAAATGTTCGATTTTTACCAATGTTGAAGAGTAAATAAATCACACCACACGTCCAATACACGTCAACTAGGGAGTCTAATATTCTTTCACTAGTGCACTGATATTATTTATACCATTTTTACAATAATGCAGTCGTCTGCATAACAGTAAATTTTGTATTTTTTTTGTATGAATAAAAAATCAAAATAGAAAGCAATAATAATATAAGAGGGGCCTAGAGATGTGACTAATGAACAGAGCATATGTTATTTTAGTGCCACGAATGTCTACCTTGTTTATTCTGGACCCTATTTTGAAATTGGCATCTTTTTTATTTTGCGTGAAATTGGCCAAATTGCCAATTTCTGACCACCATATTGGGTAGTCCAAATTAGTAAATGGGAGGTTTCTTGTACACAGCTGATAGATAAAATGGAGTTCTAAAGAAATAGCTATGAGTTTGGTCAACTGGAACAATGGAATTGGCTGAAAATTGGGCTCAAAGTCGGCGAAATCGCCGATATGCATATGTCGCCGAGACCGCTAACTTCGCGGGACCATAATTCCACGAGTTTTCGACCAAATTTCGAACTTTTGGTGTCATTACCATCGGGAAAAGATTCTCTATCATTTCATAAGAAAAAATAATTTTTTTTTTTTTTTCAAAAATTGAGCGACATAGAATGACAGTTTCAGAGAGGGGCCTGAAACAGTCAAAGGGTTAAACAATCGATATCTACCAACCTACATGTAATTCAGTGTGTGAAATACTCACATTGAAACTCGTGCAACATGGGGGCTGTCTGCCTTGGCTAACTTGATGACCTTGATTGTGAAGATACAGTGTGACCGAGAGGAGTTGTGATTGAGGCGAGTAGTAGCAAAGTGAAGATTTTGGCGTCCAATATCCAAGACTTTCCAGGCCTCCTCAGCACTGCATACACGTACTTCTTGCAACCCTGTTATAATCAAGCAAAATGTAATTACAGAAAACAGGATATCTCGACTTTGGCCAGGTTCTCAAACATTTCAGATTATTACTTAAAACTGGGAAGTGCTGCACAAGGGATAGAGAACGGCAATCCTAATAACGGACAATTTATAATTTACAGATTTCCTAAATACAATAGGGCCCCACTTTACAGCGTTTCACCTTATGGAGTTCTGCTAATACGGCGATGTCAAATTATGACCAAAATTTGCTATACGGCAAGCGGTGTTTCAAATACAGTGCGCCCCACCCGGTTTGATTACATTCTCTGTGACCACATCTATTATGTCAGGAAACTTTCCAAAATTTCAAGTGTTTTAAAGTTACTGCGTATTTTATATGTACTCCGATAATTATACTTACGTGTACCTGTATCTAAATATACTTACACACTGTGCTCGTGTGCAGGTACATATTAAAATAACTAAGTGTCTCTCTACTCATGTCGCCAATACTACGTAATAATAATCACTCTTGGGCACACTAAATGTCTTGTTTTACATTAATATAGGCATTTTCATTAATCCTTCTATGATATTTTCCTCAAAATTATATACGAAACCCTTTACATAGCATATAAACATAATACATACACTCACAGAATAGAAATTGACGTAAATATGAGATTTGTTTACAAAGCAGCTGTGTAGGTAGTGTCGGAAGAATTACGTTCTCTAGTCAAACTGGGGGATAACTGTAGAAAAATATTCTTTTCGTATGCCTTCACTATATATAGCAATTCACGACCCTTGTGGGTTTAGTGCTTTTCATAATAATTTTTTTTTTTCTCTCAAGTCTGCTGTCTCCCACTGAGGCAGGGTGACCCACAAAGAAAGAAAATCTCCAGAAAGAAAATACTTTCATCATTCAACACTTTCACCTCCCTCACACACACAATCACTGTTTTTGCAGAGGTGCTCAGAACAGAACAGTTTAGAAGCATATACATAAAAAGATACACAACATATCCCTCCAAACTGCTAATATCCCAAACCCCTCCTTTAGAGTGCAGGCATTGTACTTCCCATTTCTAGGACTCAAGTCTGGCTACATAAAAATAACCGGTTTCCCAGAATCCCTTCACTAAATATTACCCTGCTCACACTCCAACAGATCATCAGGTCCCAAATACCATTCGTCTCCATTCACTCCTACCAAACACACTCATGCACGCCTGCTGGAAGTCCAAGCCCCTCGCCCACAAAACCTGCCTTACTCCTTCCATCCAACCTTTTCGAGGACGACCCCTACCCTGCCTTCCTTCTCCTACAGATTTAAATGCTCTCCATGTTATTCTACTCTGATCCATTTTCTCTAAATGACCAAACCACCTCAACAACCCCTCTTCAGCCCTTTGACTAATACTTTTATTAACTCCACACCTCCTAATTTCCACACACTGAATTTTCTGCATAATATTTACACCACACATTGCCCTTAGACAGGACATCTCCACTGCCTCCAACCGCCTCCTCGCTGCTGCATTCACAACCCAAGCATCACACCCATATAAGAGTGTTGCCACTACTATACTTTCATACATTCCCTTCTTTGCCTCCATAGATAACATATTTTGTCTCCACATATATCTCAACACACCACTCACCTCTTTTCCCTTATCAATTCTATGATTAACCTCATCCTTCATAAATCCATCTGCTGACACATCAACTCCAAAGTATCTGAAAACATTCACTTCTTCCATACTCCTCCCCAATTTGATATCCAATTTTTCTTTATCTAAATCATTTGATACTCTCATCACCTTACTCTTTTCTAGGTTCACTTTCAACTTTCTACCTTTACACACACTCCCAAACTCATTCACTAACCTTTGCAATTTTTCTTTAGAATCTCCCCTAAGCACAGTATCATCAGCAATAAGTAACTGTCAATTCCCATTTTGCATTTGATTCCCCATAATTTAATCCCACCCCTCTCCCAAACACCCTAGCATTTACTTCTTTTACAACCCCATATATAAATATATAAAACAACCATGGTGACATTACACATCCCTGTCTAAGACCTACTTTTACCGGGAAGTAGTCTCCCTCTCTTCTACACACCCTAACCTGAGCCTCACTATCCTCATAAAAACTCTTTACAGCATTTAGCAACTTACCACCTATTCCATATACTTGCAACATCTGCCACATTGCTCCTCTATCCACTTCATCATATGCCTTTTCTAAATCCATAAATGCAATAAAAACTTCCCTACCTTTATCGAAATACTGTTCACATATATGCTACAATGTAAACACTTGATCTACACATCCTCTACCCACTCTGAAATCTCCTTGCTCATCCACAATCCTACATTCTGTCTTACCTCTTAATTCTTTCAATAACCCTACCATACACTTTTCCTGGTATACTCAGTAAACTTATTCCTCTATAATTTTTACAATCTCTTTTGTCCCCCTTCCCTTTATATAAAGGGACTATACATGCTCTCTGCCAATCCCTAGGTACCTTCCCCTCTTTCATACATTTATTAAACAAAAGTACCAACCACTCCAACACTATATAACCCCCCGCTTTTAACATTTCTGTCATGATCCCATCAGTTCCAGCTGCTTTACCCCCTTTCATTCTACGTAATGCCTCACGTACCTCCACCACACTTACATTCTGCTCTTCTTCACTCCTAAAAGATGGTATACCTCCCTGGCCAGTGCATGAAATTACCACCTCCCTTTCTTCCTCAACATTTAAAAGTTCCTCAAAATATTCTCGCCATCTACCTAATACCTCCCTCTCCCCATCTACTAACTCCCCTACTCTGTTTTTAACGGACAAATCCATACTTTCCCTAGGCTTTCTTAACTTGTTTAACTCACTCCAAAAAATTTTCTTATTTTCATTAAAATTTCTTGACAGTGCCTCTCCCACTCTTTCATCTGCTCTCCTTTTGCACTCTCTCACCACTCTCTTCACCTTTCTTTTACTCTCCATATACTCTGCTCTTCTTATAACACTTCTGCTTTGTAAAAACCTCTCATAATCTAACTTTTTTTCTCTTATCACACCCTTTACTTCATCATTCCACCAATCACTCCTCTTTCCTCCTGCCCCCACCCTCCTATAACCACAAACTTCTGCCCCACATTCTAATACTGCATTTTTAAAACTCATCCAACCCACTACTCATCTTTGCACTAGCCCACCTTTCTGCCAACAGTTGCTTATATCTCACCCGAACTTCCTCCTCCCTTAGTTTATACACTTTCACTTCCCTCCTACTTCTTGTTGCCACCTTCCTCTTGTCCCATCTACCTCTTACTCTAACTGTAGCTACAACTAATGATCCGATATATCAGTTGCCCCTCTATAAACATGTACATCCTGGAGCCTACCCATCAACCTTTTATCCACAAATACATAATCTAACAAACTACTTTTATTACGTGCTACATCATACCTTGTATATTTATTTATCCTCTTTTTCATAAAATATGTATTACCAAATCTCTTTCTACACGTAGCTCAATTAAAGGCTCCCCATTTACATTTACCCCTGACACCAAATTTACCTACTACTCCCTCCACAACATTTTTACCCACTTTAGCATTGAAATCCCCAACCACAAGTACTCTCACTTGGTTCAAAACTCCCCACACATTCACTCAACATTTCCCAGAATCTCTCTCTCTCCTCTACACTTCTCTCTTCTCCAGGTGCATATATGCTTACTATAACCCACTTTTCACATCCAACCTTTATTTTACTCCACATAATCCTTGAATTAATACATTTATAGTCCCTCTGTTCCTGCCATATCTTATCTTTCAACATTATTGCTACTACTTCTTTAGCTCTAACTCTATTTGAAGCCCCTAACCTAATCCCATTTATTCCTCGCCACTGAAACTCTCCCACCCCCTTCAGCTTCGTTTCACTTAAAGCCAGGACATTAAGCTTCTCATTCATAACATCCACAATCATCTCTTTCTCATCATCTGCACAACATCCACGCACATTCAAACTTCCCACTTTGACAATTTTCTTCTTATTCTTTTTAGTAATCTTCACAGGAAAAGGGGTTACTAGCCCATTGTTCCCGGCATTTTAGTTGACTTTTACAACAAGCATGGCTTACGGACGAAAGATTCTTATTCCACTTCCCCATGGATATAAAAGGAAAAGTAATTAGACCAAGAACTATTAAGATAAAATCAAAGAAAACTCAGATGAGTGTGTATACATAAACGTGTACATGTATGTGTAGTGTGACCTAAGTGTAAGCAGAAGTAGCAAGACACACCTGTAATCTTGCATATTTATGAGACAGATAAGAGACATCAGCAATCCGACCATCATGTAAAACAATTACAGGCTTTCGTTTTACACTCGCTTGGCAGGACGGTAGTCCGTCCCAGGGTGATTGCTGTCTACCAACCTACTACCTACAAAATAATAATAATAATAATAATATCTTCATTCACTCTAAAAATGGTGTGTTGCTGTTTGTTTATTCTGTACTAACTTGTACACAATGTAAGAGCATTTGTATTGTGAGGTAATTATTATAATAAAATATCGAGGTAAATGTTTTACAAACTCTTACAAACGTATGCGAATGAACTAAAAGTAGACACACATTAATAGGCATTTATTTCTCCTGCCCAAGTAATCGCCCACTATCTGTTCAGTTTGTATTCTGACATTGTCTGAACTCTGTATCTCGTTCTCTCTCTCGTTTCCTCTTTCGTTAAGTAGTTGGCTCTCACTAACGATGGCGTCTAAGGTTAGCTGTGATAAAAAGAGGAGTCGTAAGCATCTTGCTTTAAGTGCTAAGTTAGAGGATGATGGTGTGCCATTCTGATTTTATTCAATAAACACACTGCCACTCACCTCTCGCACATTAACATTAACATTTTAAGGTAAGTAATAAGTGTACTCTGTGTGTATCTTACCTTTTATTGTATTTTTTGATGCCTACTTCTATTGCCAACTTAATA